TTAGAAGTTGTAGTTCGATAAAAAATATATTTATTTGGATCAAGATTGTTTCCGGACAAAAGTTGTCTCAGATATACATTATATAAAGTTTTTGATACTGTTTTTATATTAATTCTCTCTTGTGGAAACAAATAACTAAATATAATAAGTAAAATTTCAAATGGTAAATTATTCATTTTTCGATAAAATTTTATTAAATTAAAAATCATTAATATGTCTTTTTATAAAAAATTTTATTATAAAGATAAAAATAAATTTTACGTGTTATTTTTGTTACACTTATTATTTCTTTTTAAGGATTAATTAGAAATTTCCTCATGAGAACTCAAAAAAATATATGTATCTAATTATAAATTTCCTCATGAGGATTATTTAGTAGATCAGCTGATCGATACAGAAAAGCATCTGAACTAATAGATTATTTTAGTTCACTGAAATTTTGTATAAATATTCTTGTTGTTTATATAATTTAAATAACTTTTTAAAATGTCTATATTTAACAGAGTAATTTATCAAATCGATGAAAAAGATGAGATTCTATATGAATTATTTGAAATGAACCTGAATCAAATTCGAAATTATGAAGATTTTATTAAAAGAAATGGAGATGAATATTTAGATTTCTTCTTGTACGAAGATTATTTGAATCATACAAAATATAGTAGATTTTAATTTTTATTGAATAAACAATTTCTGAATGTATTTGTTATTTTTTACATTGTATCGAATTGAAAATTTTAAAGCACACCATTGGCAAAGTCTATGCTCACAATAATTATCAAAATTCCTTGTTGATTTATCATTAAATACATCTAATAATTCATTGTAAACTTTTAGTTTTTTACAATTTTTAAAAGGACAAATTTCTTTAAAGATACCACAGTCTTTCAAAAAATGTGATTCTTTACATTTTTCACAATTATCTTTTTCGATGTTTTTGATGTATTTTTTTTCATGAACATATAAGTAATTACTTTGAAATTTACAATAAACAACTCCATGTTTGTTAAATAATTTCTTGACCTTAGTTTCTTTCTTTGATCTTTTAGTTTTCAGAAAGATGTATTTATCATTATTTCTAATGATATCATAAATTAAATTATCAGATTTTATGTTTTTACTTCTTCAATAAAGAATATATTTATTTGGATCTAGATTGTTTCTTTGTAAAACATGTTTTAGATAAATACTATAAAATGATTTTGATACTTTTTTTATTTTTAATCTCTCCTGAGGAGATAATAAACCAAAGATTTCAAACAAAATATCAAAAGGTAGATTCATCTTTATTTTCAAAAAAATAAATTCTATATATTTATAGATTTTTTATTTATATTGTAATTTAAATTTTGAATTCACATCAAATTTTCTTGAATTTAAAAAGGATAAATATCTATAGTTTTCTTATTTAAAAAAATAAATGAAAAATTTACCTTCTGAAATTCTAGTAATCATATTTAAAAATTTATCATTGAAAGAATCAAAAAATGCTATTTTTGTTTGTAAAAAATGGTGTAAATATATACTTATAGTTTATTATGAAGAAATAATATTTCTTAACAATTTTAATAAAACAAGAATAGAAAATATTATTATAATTAAACCAAAAGCTTTAACTAATGAATGGAAATTTATTGAAAAAAATAGTAATAATTTGATACGAAAATATCAAAAATTAGAATTAAAATATGATATTTTAAATAGAGCTTGTTTTTTATTTTTTAAAATAATGGAATTGGATAGAAATGATCCTAAAGTTAAATTTTATAATTACATAACTCAATTAGAAAGAATTATTCAATGTAAATAATCTTCTATTTTATCTTCTATGATAAAATAGATAAGAATTATTATTTAGATAAAAAAACTTTAGCTAAATATTTTGGTAGTATAAATTACTATATTTTAATTGAACGAGAAAAATATAAAGAGTTTTGTAAGATGTTAAAACAAAAATATTAATTATTTACAATAAACAATATTATCAATATAATTTTATTCGAATCATACAAGATATAGTAAATTTTAATTTTATTGAATAAATAATTTTTAAACATATTTATTATTTTTTACATTAAATCAAATTGAAAATTTTAAAGCGTACCATTGACAGAGTCTATGCTAACAATAATTATCAAAATTTTTTGTTGATTTATCATTAAATAAATCTAATAATTCTTTGTAAACTTTTAATTTTTTACAATTTTTAAAAGAGCAAACTTTTTTAAAGATACCACAATCATTTAAAAAATGTAATTCTTTACATTTTTCACAATTATCTCTTTCAATATTTTTAATAAATTCTTTTTCATGAATATATAAATAGTTATTCTGAAATTTACAATATATTACACCATGTTTATTATATAATTTTTTAACTTTGGTTTCTTTCTTTGATCTTTTAGTTTTAAGATAAATATAATTATTCTCAGATCGAACAATATCATAAATTAAATTATCAGATTTTATATTTTTATTTCTTCGATAAAGAATATATTTATTTGGATTAAGATTATTTCTTTGTAAAACATGTTTTAGATAAATTTTATAAAAAGATTTTGATACATTTTTTATTTTTAATCTCTCTTAAGGAGATAATAAACTAAAGATTTCAAACAGAATATCTAAGGGTAAATTCATTTTTATTTTCAAAAAAAAATAAAATTCTACATATTTATAGATTTTTTTAAAAAAAAATTGTTTGTAAAAATATAAAAGGAGATTTACGTAAGAAATAATTTATTCTTTTAAAGAAATAAAAATTAGATGCCTGTAAGTAAAAAAGAAAAAATACATAAAGTAAAAACATTTACTAAGAAAACATCATATTTAAATTGTCAAAAGCGTGGTATAAAATATGAAAAAGAAGATAGTGAGGAAAATTGTAGTCTTTGTATAAAACAAGGTAAAAAATGTATTATTTTTAAGCCACAATATATGGAAAAACATATTGTTGAGCTCACTGAAGAAGTTCGAAGAAATAAAGAAGAGATTCAAGATTTAAAGATTCGAGTAACATATTTAGAAAAATCACATAATAAATTAATATTAAATCTTAAACAAAGATCAATTCTCGATGAAGAATTAAAACTCGAATTCAATTTTTAGATTCAAAATTATATTTTTATTCAAATATTTGATTTTATTAAATTATTTTGATAAATTTTTAAAATATTCATTTTTTTAAAATATATAATAAATTTTACAAAATAAATTTTAAACAAGAAATAGTTAATCTTCAAAATATTTAGTTTTTAACGCAAAAGATACTCAGATGCTAAAATCTGATTGGTTAATTTTCAAAGTACTCAATTTTTAACGTGCTTTGAATATATAATATTTAAAAAAAAAAAATATTATTATTATTATTTTTATTTAAATTTTTTTTTAATTTTTTCTCAAATTTCTTTATGATTTCTTGCAAAATATCTCTTAAGAGTATCAAGAACAGGGTGTTTATAATTTTTAGAATATTGTTTACAAATTAACCCTTTCTCATTATTTAATGAATAATAATCAAGTATTATATAACCTTCATTATTATATTTTTTTTTAATTAATATATAATCATCATTATGATATTTTTCAAAATGTTTCTTAAAAATTGATATACTTGTCTTATAACTATAAGATTATTCACAGTTGTTGCAAATAAGTTTTGTTTTTTCATTATTAAAGTGAAAAAAATTTTTAATTCCATGTGTTGTTCGCATTTTTAATAATATCTACAAATGAAAAAAAACATATTTTATATTTTTTTTAAATTAGTCACATGTTTAATAAATAATATTACTATTTGAGGATATCTTTATTTAGAAATAAATTTTAAATTAAATTAAACCAATAATAATTCATAAAACTCAGAATAATTTAGACGTTTTTGGAGCACTTATGAGACCAATAATAATTCATAAAACTCAGAATAATTTAGACATTTTTGGAGCACTTACGAGACCAATAATAATTCATAAAACTCAGAATAATTTTGACGTTTTTGGAGTACTTACAAGACACAAAATGATTAACAAATTAAATTCAGAATAATTTTGATATTTTTGGAGCACTTACGAGACCAATAATAATTCATAAAACTCAGAGTAATTTTGATATTTTTGGAGCACTTACAAGACACAAAATGATTAACAGATTAAATTCAGAATAATTTAGACATTTTTGAAGCACTTACAAGACCAATAATAATTCATAAAACTCAGAATAATTTTGATGTTTTTGGAGCACTTACAAGATACAAAATGATTAACAGATTAAATTCAGAATAATTTTAACATTTTTGGAGCACTTACGAGACCAATAATAATTCATAAAACTCAGAATAATTTTAATGTTTTTTTGAGCACTTACGAGACATAGAATAATTAAACTCAGAATAATTTTAATGTTTTTTGAGCACTTAAGAGATACAGAATGATTAACTCAGAATAATTTTAATGTTTTTAAAACTATAATAATTTATTTAATAATAAAAATATATATTATTTCTGAATAATAATATTTTCTGCTTCTAATCCTGTAATAAACAAATTAAACAAATCATCTTCGATGATAATATTTTCTAAGATGATTCTTTTATATTTTCTTCTTTTTTTGTTAATTTCTTCTCGAAATAATGTTTCAATTTCTGTTTCTTGTTGATTATTTTCTCTTGGTTCATTAATTTCTGTTTCTTGTTGATTGTTAGTTTGATTTTTAGTTAAATTTTGATTATTTTTTCGAGCTAATTCTTTATTCAAAATTTCAATATAAGTTTCTTTATGAAGTCTTTCAAAATGATTTTTTAAATTTACAACTAATGAACTTGATTGTGAATTATATGATTGACTACAAATTATATATGAAACTAATTTTTTATCTAAGTTTTCTATAACATGATTCCAAATTTCATGTTTTTGAGTTTTTCTTTTATTAGATTTATTTTTTTGATTAGGTTGTTTTCTCTTAAGATTACTTTGTATTGTAGAGTCTTCATGAATTGTTTGTTCATTCTCAAATTGAATATTATCAAGATCAGCCATTTTGTTTTTGAATAAAGAACCTGTAATATTTCTCTCGATATTTATTAAAAATTATTTATCTTACGTGTTGTTTTGTTATATTTGTTATTTGAAATTACATAACTGATCAAATATGTCCTTTTGAGGATAATCCTCAAATAGTTAGATTGTATAAACACATTACTGATCACGAATTTCCTCATGAGGATTCTATAAACAGATAGATTGCAGATCTACAAAATTCAAATTCTAGGTCAACACATGATAACACAAAAATTAATGATAATAAATGCACCAATCATTTTGTAAAGTTTTGTTTATTTATAATTAATAATTTTTGAACCAATAAACTTTTGATAAAAAATTCTTTTCTCTTACGAGTTTTTTTTAAAACTTGTTTTATTCTTAATGTTTAAAGCTTATAAAAATGCTTAATTTTCTGCATGTAACTTTAAAAAATGTCCGATATATCATTCCAAATTGAGACTAAACAATCAATTTACAACACTCCACAAATTATTTCAAACGAACGAAGAAACAAAAGAAAATATCTTTCTAATTCAACTGACGAAACTAACAAAAAACAAAAAATGTCTTCTATCAACTTCGAAAAATTTGAAGAATTTAACAAAGAATATGAAATAATCTTTGAAAAGCTTCAAGAAGAAAATAAAAAACTTTCTGAAAAGTTAAAATTATATGAACAAAAAGATATTTTTATGTCTAAATATTTTGGAAAGTCATATACTATTGCTGAAGAAACCTTTCAAGAAGAAGAAAATGAAGTCCAAGAAGAAGATTGGACTTCTTTAATTAATATTAAAGAAAATGAAGAAAAAGATGATTGGTTAATTAATTTTAATCAATCACAAGAAGAAATCGAATGGATCTATTCTAGTCAAGAAGAAAAAGATTATTATAATTATCTTCAAAATGAAAATTATAATAATTATATTTACTATAAAGAAAATTATATTCCTAGTATATATGAAAGATATGAAGAATGTTGTTATTCAAGAACATCAACTCCTGATATCTATAGCGAAGAAGAATTTGATCCTTAAATTTTTATTTTTTATTTGTAAATTTTATTTTAAAATCTTATTTGTATATCTTAAATATTTTTAATAATAAATCTTAATCTAAAAAGTTGATGGAAATCTTTCAAGTTTTTCTGTACGTTTATCACAATCTGGCATGAACCTCAATAGCATATCTTTCATAAATTTTCCATGCATTGCAACTTGTTCATTAAATGTAATATTAGGCATATTCATTGCAATTTCAGTATCTCGATCCATACGTTGCATAACAAATCTTTTTTCAGATTCAGTTAAATTTTTTTCAATCATACGTTCAACTAAACAAATTACTCTATTATAAGTTGCATTTGTTCGATTTTGTATTTGTTCTAATTCTCTTTGGGTCTGCTCATATTGTTCACGTAAATTCTCAAGATTTTCTTCTGACATTTTTTATAATAAATAAAATGAATAAATTCTTTCTATTTATATTTTTTAAAATATATAAATAAACTTTATTTTTTAAAGATAAAACAAAATGAATTTCGAACAAGAATCTGAGAGTTCTCCTTGGAGAAAATTTCATCATACGTTCAAGGTTCTTGATAATTGGATGTGGGGCATCAAGAAACCTCATGGAAAGAAAATCTACAATCAGATCAGACTTGTCTCGATTGATAATATCTCATATATAGAAGTCAAGACCCAGAAAGAAAATATTACATTTCTAACTGATATCTCAAACTACAAACATGTTCGATCACATACTTGGACTGCTTATAAATCAAAAAAAAATAATATATATTATATTATGACAAAAATTAAGAAAGATAATAAATATAAAACTTTATTATTTCATAATCTAATTTATCCTGAATGGTCTATGATCGATCATCAGAACAGATATGGAACAGATAATAGAAAGGTTAATCTTAAAAAAACAACACCAAGAGAAAATGCTTTAAATTGTAAATTACGAATAACAAATACTAGTAATTTTAATGGAATTTCTTATCTAAATGATAAAAGAATTAAAAGATGGAGATTTTGTTGGCATGAAAACAAAAAACTTAAACAAAAATATTTTAAAACTAAAGAAGATGCAATCGAATTCAAAGAAAAACATGATCAGATCACAGGAAACATGAATGGAAAACCTGTTTAAATTTGTATTTAGTAATTCAAATTTTTATTTAAACTAAATAAACAATAATTTAAAATAAAAAAAATCGTCTAGGTCGATTTCCAAACTTAAGAAATAATATCTCTAGTTCAGAAATCGAACGAGAAAATTTTTTTTTTGTTCAAATTATTTATTTATATAAAAATATTAAATAAAAAAATACATTTTATTTCATTCTAACAGAATCAATAAATTCTAGGAATTGACGTTTAATTAAGTCTAAATGATTATTGAAAACTTCTCTTTTAATCTCGACTTCAACTTGTTGAGATAACAAATAAACATTCATCTGATGTATATTTACTGTATACCAAATATAAATTCCAAAAGAAATTAAAATAATCAAAAATATTATTACAAATATTGTAATTAAATATTTGAAATATTTTTTGTAAAAGACTATAATTATTGAAAATATAATTAGTTAATTATAATTTAATAAATCTATAAATAATATAAAATATTTACCAATAGTCTCTTCTAATTTTTTAGTTCACTCATGGAGCGATATATTTTGAGCAATATAATCACTCAATCTATTAGTACTAATAGATACATCTTGTTCGATTTCTGAACTAGAGATATTATTTTCTGAAATTTCAGTAGACATTTTTTAATAAATTTTAATATTTGGTTAAAAGTTTATTTTAAAACTTGAAGAAAATTTTTGAATCGTTATCAAATTTATACCTGTTCTTGGAGTTTGTAAAATAGCTTCAAAATAACTTGGTGGTGGTTCTTCATCTGTAAAACGTTCAACACTAGAACTAATAGAGGAATTTTCAACTTGCATACTGCTAGATCTACTGAATGTTTGTGATATCCTTTCAACATTTTCTACAAAGTACTGCATGATGATTGTAATGAAGATGATTAAGTAAAGTGCGACAAAAAACATTTAAGATTTTTTATGAGAATTTGAGAATTTTTTTATAAAATTTGATGTTTGTTGAACAAAAAAAACCTGAATTTTTATAGATTTGTCTGACAAATTTGAATCAAACTACATTCGTATTGTTCATTTTATGTAAATAATTAAAGTATGCAGCTTATCATGAGACTTGCATATCATGTATGATTATCAACTCCTGTTGTTTCAGCCATAGATGATTAATTCTAAATTTGAAATCGTAATCTTATTTACACCTGAATATTTTATAACTAAAAATAGAATCTATATAGCCTTATTAATTATAAAAACACAAAGAATTCATGATAAGGAGATAAGTATTTATTATATAAAAATTTAATACGTATTAAAATGTTAAAATTATACAAAATTAAACCTGATTCTTTGTCAAAAATTATGTCTGAAAGTAAATTGACAAAGAATCAACTTTTGGTAAAAATTGATCAATTAAAAGCATCTCTCGAAGAACAAAAACGAGAAAATAATGCTACGAAAGAAAATCATGTTAATGAAGTCAGTCTTTACAAAGAATTGATCGCTGCAAAAAATAATGAAATTGCAAATTTGATGTCTATGATCAAGAAACATGAAAAAGAAATTGAACGAATTGATAATATGTACAAAAAACATGAGTATGAATATAGTGAAAGATTGAAAGAGAAAGATAAGATCCATAAACGTGAAAAAGAAGAAAGAGAAAAAACTTACAAACGTGAAACAGAACTTATGCAACAAACTATTAATAATTTAGAACAAATTATCAGTGATTTACAATTACGAGTTAATGAAAATGTTTCTACTCCAGAATTATATTAAAATATAGTAAAAATTTTATTATGTTTATTTTTTTTTCTTTTAGATTTGATCCAGTTTCTAAAAGTTTTTTTTTATTTAGTAAATCATCATCATTATTTTTATGTTATTATTTTAAATTATATAACGTATAAATTAATTTTATTATGAATAAATTTTATAAGATATTAAATAGAAATTTAATAAAAAAAAAATACAAATTTTATAATTAAAAAAAATAATAATAATTATTCATTATTTTCTTCATCTTCCTCATCTTCATCATCATCATCGTTATAATTTTGTGCAAATTCTTGTGCCAATTCTTCACTGATCTTTTGACGTTCAGAAATCTGTTTATAATTATGAATCTGATAACTCTTCTTGATTTCACAATTAATCATATAAATTTTAGTACTCTTGTTTGTTTTTTTAGGATTATTTTCAGTATCGTAGTAAATAATATATTTGTTTGGATAAGTTAATACAAAAAAATTTGATGTTGGAACTTTGTTTCTCTTCTTCTTATTATTTACTGCTTTACAAATTATACCGTCAGGAATAGGAATAATTTCATCTTCATTTTTTTTAATAAAAAATAAATGAGAATATGTTTCTTCATCAGTTGTTTCAACTTTGATACGGAAATTCATTCCAAGAAATTCTTGAATATCTTTATCATAGATTACTTCATTCTTGTTATTTTTATTGATAGTTAAAGCACTTACAAATGACATACTGTAACTGATAAAATTTTATTATTTTAATTATTAAATTTTTTTTTTTCAAAAAAAAAATAACAATACTTACGTTGTAAAATTTAAAAGAAATAGATCTGAAAAATACGACATTTGGAATCACTAATTTATTAATTATTTTAAACTATATGTATATATAAATTCAAATAGAAATAACCTGTTTTTATATAAAAAACAAATAGTACTTGAAATCTAGTTTATTGACAGTCTTATTACTTTATTTAGATATATTCAGTAAACAGATTGTCTGATAATGTAAATGTATTTTCTCATCGAAAAAATTTTGTACATGTTCAATCAGACTAAAAATGATCTAATAGATTTTTTTAATAATAAAAGAACTTGAAATGAAACTAGAATCTTTACGATTTATTCGTTTTAAAATCTTGAAATTAAAACTACCTTATATCAATTACTTTTTTAAAAATGTTTCCAAAAATCTTTTTCCTTGTTGCTATTGTTCTTTCTCTATTAGGTTTGTTCTTAACAAACCTCTCTCTCGGTGAATACAACTCTTATATTCACCAATTCATCACTAAAATCATTTATTCAAAAACTTTCTTTTGGATAATCGCTATTGCAATATACATATTAATTATTGTAATTACAATTATAATTATAGTTTCAGTAATTCATAATCATTACTGGAACTTTTTATACGAACGTTTTCCTGAGCAGTTCATCTATTAATATGAACTAGCAAACTTATTAGTACAAAATTAATTTTTAGAGTTTTTAAAAAAACTCCAATTTTATTTCTTTGGTGAAATTAAAATTCACCTAGAATATTTATTCGGTATTGATTCAGATATTGAATCAATCCATTCTCAAGAACTTGAGAAACTTTAAAATACCTTGAATTTTTTATTAAATATTTTTTAAATGCAATTTTACATACCCAAAATTTACTTGGAAACTTGAGATCTTGAGAATACACAAAAGATCGAATTGAGAAATCAGTACCATTAAGACCTTTTCTCGACATTAATTAAGGTTGTTATCTTGGTGGAATTGGAGTTCTGAGTTGGGTTTCAAATGAAAATATTATAATCTTTTAATGATTT